GCCACCACCGCCTGGCTATTAACTCTTAAGCTTTAAACCCACAACTTTCTTTACCTTTTATGGACATCCTCATCCACTGTAAATGGTAATACAAATCCATCTTCATCTAATTTAATTTCAACATCTGGCAAAAGAAGAAAGGAAAAATTCCTCGTGTGATACCCTCAACAACATTATCTTCCTGCGTTCCTTGTGCTGGTTTCATTTCTTCCATATTGCCTTTATCAGAGGGCTGAGGCTGCAAAGTAATGGCCACAACCAACCGTGAGAACAGTTGCCTATAGACTAAGAGCCCTATAGACTAAGCAAGCCAGCTGTGAACTAAGAAGTCTCAATTACTCTGAAACAGAGTGGTGTTTCAAGAGCTCTACAGCATGCTGAGAACCACGTACATGCTCCTCTTCCTCATGTAACAAAGGCCTGAACCTTTCAATCCCGAGTGAAGAGAACCCTCTAGTGAAGCTGGCACCAGGCAGCGGCAGCCCTCGCCTGCACCTACAGGTCCGCTCTCCTCCCGTGTACGCAAAGCACCCCACCCCGTGACACGTGGCTCACACGCATGTGCACATCCCCTTCCTCCCCTCTCAGACACTAGCATCTATTCTGTAAAAAGAGCCCAGCAAAAGGAGGACACGAGATGTGTCCACGAACTGCTGTCTTTTGTGTGACTATTTTCTTTTTCTCAACAACCTGAAGGAACAGCTGGGGCAGAGGGCCAAGGGCTCCTCCACAAGCACTGTCCACCAGGACTGCAGCAGATGAGGATCCACACCAACGCCATCTATGTTGTCATCTAGAAGCCAAGTCTGTCTACGGCCACCTGAAATGTGGCCAGTGACCGTGTGCTGAGGAACTCGTATTTAAATGGCTTCGTAGACTACAGGAACCGCAGAAGGCACAGGCCTGAATGACAAAGCCACTGCGGACACCACCGAGCACTTACTATCTTACTTCGTTCGTCCGTCCGTCCGTCAGTCCCTGACACAGCTCACTGTTCCTTCTCTCAGTTTACAGGTGAGGGAGCAAGCAGAAAAAGGTTAAGATCCTCTGCCCAGGGCATTCGGCTACTCGGGGGCTAATGTGTGAAACGGGAACTCACAGTCTTGACTCTACACAACTCTGCCAACCCTCCTCCTCCTCCTCGCCTTCAGGTGAGGGGAGCTCCCTCCTGCATCTCACACCTCTGGCTACCAGGTCCCACCTACAGCTCAACAAGGACAGGATGCTCCGACTTAGCCGAGACCCCTGAGCCACTTACCTATGGTGTAACAATAGGGGGTCAACACTTTCGACGCAAAATACAATCTTGATCCTAAAAGATCAATCAGTCCAATCACCACAGACTTGTAAAGATGGAGATCCACAGGGGTCTCCAGGGAGCAGCATGGAGTAAGGAACGACGTCACGTGGTACTGAGGAAGGAGTTTGGGGCCCTAAATTCATACATGCAAACACAAGAAAGAGAAATCAAATGTAAGAGCAGAGAGTGAGCTCAAGGCTACTCAGATAAAAGACTGACACAAGATTACTTTATATACACGGTGTTTCTAGGACATGGGCACACCTAATTCTAAAAATGACAATATATGAGAAGGCTGCTACAGCTCACATCTTTAAATAAATAAAACACAGAAAAATACTCAGTTTAAAAGCTTCTTTGGAATGCTTGGAGCTGCTTCAAGGTCATAATCATTCTCTACTAGGGTATCTGTTTGTGTGTTTTTCAAGACAGGGTTTCTCAGTGTACCTCGGGCTGCCTCTGCCTCCTGAGTGCTGGGATGAGGCGTGTACCACCACCACTTGGCTCTCGACTAAAGTTTTCAACAGTGGTGTTCCAGGGTGCTCCTCTTTTGCTGTGATAAACACCACGACCAAAAGCAGCTCTGGGGAAGAAACGGGTCATCTGAGCTTACACTTCCTGTCCCCAGGACATTACTGAGTGAAGTCAGCCAGGAACTGAATCAGAAAGCACCGAGGAATGCTGCTTACTGGCTCACTCAGTGGCTCATGCTCAGCCAGCTTTATTATACAGTCCACTACCTGCCTAGGAACAGAGCTACCGACAGTGAACCAGCCCTTCCCCCATCAATCATCAAGGGACTCTCCATTGGTATGGCAAATCGTATTGAAGCAATTCTTCAACTGAGGCTGCCTCTTCCCAGGTGACTCCAGGCTGTGTCAAACTGATAAGCACTACCCATGGTGAGTAGGAAGTGTGGGAAAGCGAAGTTTCGATCTCTAAAGGAAAGGGAATGTGATAAAACCAATGGCACCAGCGAACCAGCCATTCATCTGGAAAGCGAGTTAGCCTCTCTCTTACCGTCCATGGCAGAATACAAGTCCCGGTGGTAAAGATGGCCACAGTGGACATAGCATCCTGTTCACCCTGTTCAATGTGCTCACCGCACACATACGTGCACACAGGAGACTGTTGGTACATACCGTGGGTGGCCAAGTATGTACAGATTCCAACACAAACAACTTAATTTTTAAAAGTACAGCAAACACACAAATACCTAAATTATAAGTATGTTAAAATAGGAAATGTCATTTTAGAAATCAGTCAACTGTGTGGCATAACAGAAATGAGGTATTCTTAACAGATAAGAAACTCAAAAGTCACAAAGAAATATGTCTACAAAAAATTCAAAACCTTCTGCATAGCAAAATCATCAATATTGTTTTAAAAAATAATAAAAATTAAAGACAAAAAGAAAACACATACGATATTCCTGTTAACTTGTCTCACACTGAAAGACAACTTGTAGGAAATACAAATGAACAATAAACATCTGAAAACATACTCAATACCATCACTGCTCCTTAGAACAAAATTTAAACATGGCACGTGGCAGCCCTCCTCAGGACCAACAGCACTGCTGCTGAGACCACGTCACAGCTGTGGCTGTCACCTTCATTTACTGTCCATAAAGAGGACATCTATCCTTCCTAGGGGGAAATGTCGGCCTTCATCCAAAACGTACTCAGGAACCCCGCTTTTGCGTTCAGTGGTTTTTAAAAGCATCTAGGATGATAAGCCATTGGAGAAGGTTTATTCGCGTTGTTGACAGAGACAAACCGAGAAAACTGGAATACTTTGAAAGTGGATGGCAAAGGCCACAAAAATCAAAAGCATGGCTTAAGCTCTGTATCCAGGACTCGGGAATGGCTGCAGGATGCTGGACAAAAAAACAAACTGTGATTACTCCCCATGGGAGACCTCGACTTGGGGGATGTGGGGATGTGGGGTGGCTTGGGAAAGAGGGCTGGGGGTGGAAGGAGGGTGGAGGGGGATCTGTGGATAGTATGTGGAGTGAGTAGAAAATTTCTTAATAAAGGAAAAATGAAAGAAAAAAAAAGAACAAAAAACAAACTGTGCTTCCTCTGGTCCACCCCATCGCTTCAGATGGGAAACAAGCAGACGGGGCACACACTTGTTTACCTAGATCTGGGCAGAGAAACTGCAGCTCACGCTACTCTTTCAAGGGCGGGAGAGGGGGAGGGAACTTCCATCCCCACAGACATCAGAGCAGCCCAAGCAACTTCAAAGACCAGAGTGGTGATTTCTAGTCATAAATGTTATTCTTCAAATCAGT